TTGCCTGTTCCAAGTGCTCATTCACCTCAATGCCCATTCATTATCCTGTCTCACTACGCGCCCCCTACGGTTAGCCAGTGCATGTCTTTTTCTCATATGTTTTTGGAAGATCCACACCTGCTCAAGTGTCCAATTCAACCAGAACTGAAAATTCGTTTTGTAAAAACAATGGGGTTATTTTTAGGGGAGATTTCGTGGTTATGCATGATCTTTGATAATTCAAAAATTTTATATTTAATCTCTTCTCACACACCTTAAAGATTAACTACTCTTATTTTCAGGAATATGCTCTAACACAACTGAATCCACGATGATAACAATTAAACTCAAAAAAGTAATTGATACAAGTCTGGACAATCTGTAATTAAAAAAAAAGGCTCGGTTTTACTTGAATAATTTTTGCATATAAGTAATTTTGATTTTATTATCAAATGAAATATATTTGAAATATGATCAATCCCAAATTATTATAAAATAGCCACAAGACCACGTATTCTTTTCTTCATTTCTCGTTTCTTGTAAATTGCAAGAAATTTGAATTGTTATAGGGTTTTTTTTGGCCTAAAAATTGCTAGGGTTTATTATACATAATATTTTCCTCTCATTCTTTAAAGTAATAGACACCTCTCAATGGGACAAGTCAAGTTAAGTTATGGAGTGGGGAGGGGATCTACCCTTTTTATTATAATGAATTTAATGGGCATCTCATTATGAGTTACAATTAGATTAGAGTTTATACTTTATTGCTTCACTCACATCAATTAAAAGGATGTACACAATTCATCAAAATAGATCACTTAATAATATTGGACCAAAACATGTTTTTGTAGATCGCAACCAACTAATTAGGCGTTTGTACAAGTATGAAGGGGAAAAAGGGGAGGGGGTTACAAGAATTGAGATACGTATATGCCTAGAAAATAGGTTTTCTTCCAAGGTCAAAATTGTATGTTTGACATAATAAGACCGTAGGTGGCCTCAGATCAAATTATCCATTCAACTAATGGGTTTGATATAGTCAGTTTATGTGGAACAAAACAATGGCGGAGCCAAGCGCAAACGGGGTGGCATATGCCCGCTGTCATTTAAAAAAAATATACTTGTGTAATCTTTAGATATTTATCGAATACATTTAACTATGCCACCCTATATTTTTTTTTTTTTTTTCATATCAATTAGGATAGACTCAACTAAATGATTAATTGTGAATACTCGGCCAAGTATCGGAAGTTGTGATAAATTGATAAATGATAGCATGATTGGGTCCATAGAGAAAATTTTTATAATCATATTGATAATAAATTTTATAAACCGCTTTTAGAGTACGAAAATTAATCGATCATAGTGTTTAATAGTTGTATTAAATGTTATTTTTTGGGACAATGTTAAAATTAGTCTTTTTCTTGGTTTTTTTTTGGTAAGTCTTTTTTTTTCTTGGTTTTTGTCTATATAGAGCATATACATTAATTTTTGGTTCTTTTCTATTTATTGAACTCTTAAATATCAAATATAATGTAATTAAATACAAAGAGATATAATCTCATTCTTATCGATTGCTTAACAAATTAAAATTTATTACAGTGCCCACCCAAAAAACCATTTTTTGGCTCCGCTCTACGTGGAAGAAAAATTACTTACTCGGGGCATGGATTTGGTCTCTATAGCAAGCCCCAGGCACAATGTGAAGGACCAAAGCTTGGATAAGGTGGGCCATTGGCCTTATATCTACAACTAGCAACCCCATAGTACTGCGACAGATGACTAAAATATGACAAAAGAAGGTACATTTACATGCATAAGATAATTGATCGATATTATGTTGTTTTTGTTGGAATTTGCATAGGAAGAGTAAAGACCCGTAGCCAATATTGGGTCCACTGAATGTTCAAATCCTATGAGACATAATTCATAGAAGCAAAAAAATACAGAGATTGTTGCTAAAACACTGACTGTTGTTGCAAATAATATGGCAATACTAGTTGATACTTGCTAATGAATATGAACAGGGTAAGCGTTGCATAATTTATTCGGACCTTTACAAAGTTGTAATGAATGTTGAAGTACTTGATATTAGTGGTCGAATGATAGCTTTTCACTACTTGCCATAAATCATGTGAAAGAGAAATTATTTTTTTATCTAACCTCTAGAAATGTGCTATTTGTTCTTAATTTGACAACAACCACAAGGTGGTCCTTGGGCTATAAATTAAAGGTCGAGTGGTGATCATGGTGCATGCATTTTTTATTAAGGGTCTACAATTTCCTTAGACTTAGTTTTCTAGGGTGGTCTAATAATTCTGCATGCTAAGTTAGTATACCAGGACATAGTTTATGCCAAGTGGGATTTTAGTTACACATTTTTGTGTGTGTAGTACTATTAGGTCATCTAAGGGAGTACTAGTTATGACTTTGGATTTTTAAAAATTTTGTTTATTAATTTGATTTCATGGTATATCACATTGATGATGCATTAAACGCCATTGATTGGCCTTTTGTGTAACACCCCGTTTTTTTTTGTATATATGTATATAGATATATAGTAAATAATTGTGGTAAAAATGTGGATATGTGTAGTGATGTGTGTTTGAATTTGGTAGATTGAAAAAGTAGAAATTTAAATGTTAGTGGAAATAATAGTTGAAATTGGTTTTAATAAGTGAAAATACAAAATTTTAGGTCCTAGAACTTGTATTAAATAGTTTTGGTGTAGAAATATGTGTTGGAGAGGTTTAAGATGGATTTGATTGGCTTAGGAATGGATTGGAAATAGAAAAGGGATGAAACAGGACGTGAACAGTGCACTGGCTGCAACTTCAAGCGCAATTTCGACCTTGATGCAGTCAATATCTCTCAACACTCAAAACATGAAAAAGTCCCCGCCCAAATTTCGATCTTAGGTCTTCTTTTAACTTAAGAGCACCCCTTAATGAGATATTGGAACAAATGATGGAAATATTTCGGAATGCACATGTCACCCAGACATTTCACCAGAGAGATTGGCTCAGCTTCAACCTCGTGAGAGGTGATTGCACCAGTAGCAAAAGAGATCTTAAGATAAAGAGGTACCATATCATATGTGTAACGAGAACGGACATGACACAGCAAGTTGCTAGTATAACTTGCTCACACAGGGGTCTGAAAGCTTTTCAGTCAAGACCGGTCGGGGCTCTAGAGAGGAAGAATCTACATCGATCACGATGCGAGCAACAAGGTAATGGTGTCCTCGACCAAGCCGAAAGACAGATCTCATCACAGCACTTGCTTTCCCTAAACTATCTATCCTTAGAAGTAGGGTGAGCAAAACTGAAAGAGGGAATTCTCTGATCCGATAGCCTTACAACAAACAAGCTTGCTTAACGCACTAGCTTTGAGTTCCGACTTAAAAGCTCTTAGAAGTTCAAAACCAAAAGACAAAGCGCATCGCTCTCACGCTCGTCAGTAAAGTAAGTTATTCGCCTTTTATAAACGAGTGTTGTGTACTAATAGACTTGCTTACCGTAACCGCAAAGAAACAACGGTTCTATCTATTTATCCATAAGGGCTGGAGCGCCTTTCGAACGGTATAAGTTACGACTTCGCTTCCGAAAAGAGAGATTTGACTCTGATCCACTACCGGAAGGAATTGCCTCACTTACCGCTTGCTCTTATTCCCATCGATATGCCCGGAAACAAGAACTTTCTTTCTCTCATGCCTTTACCTTAAGCCTGACAAAGATAGAATGTTTCACTTGCCCTACCGCTTTCATTGCCCGTAAAGACTCTATCTCTACAGCCGCCTTCTCTTTCCTTTTCATTACAAACAAACCGCTTTCATAACTAAACTAAACTAAACTAAACTAAACTAAACTAAACTAAACTAAACTAAACTAAACTAAACTAAACTAAACTAATAAGGCGTAAAAGAAAGGAGTCTCGGTATTTGTTCTGACTTCCGCTCGCAAAGGAACAAGATCTGGATTTGACTAGGGCGAGCGCTGTTTACTATGCGAGTGGAGAGATTTAAGCGAGCTAATAGCGAGTGGACTTTGCCCCTCCCTTTCTTTCTTTAGACTTGCAGTAAAGCTGAACAAGTTTACTCAGCTTGCACTTGAGCTTGAAGCCTTTTTTTGAATCCTAAAGTCTCATTAAAAAATCTCCAAAGCTAGAAGAAAGCCGAGACTACAACCGCTACTTGCCTAATAGTACAGCGCCTTCCTCCCTGACTTGACTTTCCTAGCTACCAAGCCCCTCTTCAAACCCTTGCCAGAAGGACGAAAGGAAAGATTCTCTGTGATACCGCTTTCATAACGATAATCGGAGTGAAAAGCCTTAAAGAGAAAGCTTTAGCAACGGTAGGAGTTACTACTTACGCCAGCACCTGACGAGCTTACCAGAACATTCTCCCGCAACAAGAAGAGTTTGACTTGGACAAGTTCATGATATGAAGAGCCTTTAGATGAAGAACGCCCTACTAATACAAGTCAAGGAGAGGAAAGGATTCAAGATCCCGAGACAAGAAGGGGTGAAGGTACTACATATAAGCCTTCAATCCCAACATTGGGCTTGATATGCTTTCTTTTCCATTTCTTGAAATATATATATTCCATTTTTTTTAGGCCATGAAGAACGAGAGAGGAGGACGGGGGGTCAAAGTAACGAGACACCGGGATCGCGTCGCCTTACGACACCAATAACAGTCATTTCTGATAAGGAGGGGAAAGTCAAAAAAAGGGGATGGAAATTGACCAGCCTTAAAGAAGTAGGGGGGGGGGGAAGAAAAAGGTGAAGGAGAGGAAGCTGGAAATGGGGACAAAGAAGAAGACGAAGAAAGTTCAAACTCTTTTTTTTAGTTCCAAGGATGAGGAGGATCCAACGAGCTTACCTTATTATTAGAGAAAGGGGAAAGGGGGGATAATCCATAAGATCCGGTTCTCTAATGTTGATTCTGAATCTGGCTAAATTCTTATCTTGAAATCACATTCTTCTCAAAGAAATCTCCCCCGAAAAGGAATTCCATTGAGAGGCAATCATCACTACTTTCTCCCGAGAGCATGGTCCCCCGAGAAAGAATGTATTTTTGTCAATTTCGTTGGCTGGGCAGCCTTTTCTTCTATTGTTCCTTTTAACATTGGGAAAAAAAAGAAAACAATTAGAAGCCCCTTTAGAGATAGGGGTGAATTCGCATAGTCGGAAGGGAAAGATGGCCGAGGATCGTAGATTCGACCGCGGAAGCAGAAAACAGCGCTCGCTGCAACTCAAGAGATTTGGGAGTGTATTAAATATCTATTCAAGACTTGCATGCAGGCCTCATAGCAAGCCTTGAATTCGAGCTCCATAGATCCTCCAATTCTTAAAAAATCTTGCTTGTAATCAGAGGAGAGATTCTCAATTCTAGAGAAAAGCAAGGTTTGGAACCCAACTTCTAATCTTTATAGATAGGGGGTTAAATCTCTTCCTTTCCTCCTCTATTTAGCTCTTACCAAGTTCATTATATTTTCCCAAAGGGGAAATAAGTTGCTTTAATTCCCTCTGGGCGAATAGTCTTCATTTTATCTCTTCCCTCCTGTGGAGCCCCTATAGACGTAAAGGTTCCAAAGGCTCCACTTGACAGGCTCTAAGTCAGTGAATATCTACTTCCCGCCCACCTTCAAGTTCAAGAGTCGTAAGTAAAGAGATCTTTCCTAGAGGTAAGTAAAGGATTCCTTCTGGCCTTCTGCTCTGGTAGCTAAGTCACTCTTCTCTTTCTTTAGTAGGAATAGACAAGTCTCACTCTTGCCCTTAATAGGAATCCAAATGCGGAGGTCAGCTTGTTTTAGGTCATAAAGGGAATAGGTTTCTATCTTACTTGAAGACAAGGAATTGATATCTCACTTAATGTCCCTACTAATAATCGAATCGAAAGGGCTTACTAAAAAAGCTAATAGGGCTCCAAAAGGATGGATGTCTTCCGTGTATGAGGGAGCAGGAAAGAGAGAGTCAACATATGACCCCCAAATAACAGAGGCAGGGAAGCGCCATTATGATTATTAGTTGTCAGTTTCGCTAGAGTGGTGTTGGTAAAGAACCTTCCCTCTCTATGGTCAGTTAGTAATGAATCTTTCTTGCCGTGTCGTGCCCTATAGATGAGTAATGGGAAGCTCGCCATAAAAGCAAGGAAGCAAAAGGTAACAGAGGACATCGAGAGCGCTATTCTTATTTCTTATTAGTGGCCTTGCTTTAGTAATAGCTTGCTTTGCTTGAGTAAGAGATAGATATGCAAGTCCATGTTTGAGGAAGCGGGATAGAAAGGGCTTCCCTTTAAAGAAGCTTGTTGAGAGAATAGGAGTGCGCCGCGAACGGGCCCTAAGAAAGAAAAGT